CGTCTGATAAATATATAATTACTTCATACACAGTGTTTGACCATACAGTTCAAAACAGTTCCTAGAGCAACCAGTTTTCCATTCTGCCCCAGATTCCCTAGTGGGTGGCATTTCCTTTTAGTGAATCAGAGTTGATAGGTCTACAAAACTCATCCTGTGAGTTACCGAATGTCATTTCATCTAATTTATATCCCCCGGATCTCTGTGACAGCTTGTTTAGCATGGCACTACTGCACCAAGAAATGCACAGGAACTGTTTTACAAGTATCAAATTCATGTTAGTAACGGAGGAGTACTTGTTTTCATTGGACATTTCAGTGCTGTATATTATACTCATGAACAGAACTGCTGGGTGAACATGGATCTGCAGATGTGTCCCAGGGTCTTCACTGGCAAGGAATTATCTGCTGTAGAGGCGGGGAATCACAGTTCCTGTCTTTTTGGATGATCATCCTTTCCTGCAGTTTCCACAGAAACCATATTAGTGTAGAGTGTTTATTTAACAGGACATTGATGTTGGATGAAAGAGACCTTCTCAGTTCAGCTACAGACTTTATGTACGATGTTAGACAAGTCACTTTAAAGATTCTGTGATTCATAACCTCGTCTGTAACATGGGCATAAGTAATTTCACATGCACTCTTAATTAATGTTTTGATAAATAGCAGGAGACTGAAGGAGAATCCTTCTCCCATCTGATCAAGCTAGTAAAAGGTGCCTTGAGGGGAACAGACTTTCTTACAGTTCTAGACAAAAGGGCATAGTTAAGAATAAATCCAAGGAAAAATAATTTATACCCACTTTTAACTTGGGCTATATAGAGTCCATCCAATTTTCACTACCCAAGCCAAAGCTGAGAACATGTGAAATTTTCCATCCAACATCAATGACTGTCACAAATCCTCTAGCTTCTCTTGAATGAAAACATATGCCAACTAGTTTTAGAATATGTCATCAGGTTTTTTGTGTGTTATAAGCCAATGCCTTAATGACTTGGTCCAAGAAAAACAACTGAGACCTAAGAACCTTAACAGCCACATAAGTGCCACAGATCTCAGCTTTGCTGGGGATGAGCTACTCATTCAGCAGAAAGTTTGTCTGAGTATTGAATTTTAAACAGACAAAATCAATGACAGTCCCTTATCCTCTCCCATACAAGATTCTGATGGGGTTTGCTTCCCATTTTAAAACATTAGTGCATGCTAATTTAGAGTATGAACAAACTAAGGAGTAAAATGTACTAAAAGCTGATTTTGCACAAAAAAAGAGGGAATGTTCTAAAGGCTGTTTTGTACACATTTTGATAGATAGGATGCAATTGATACAGCTGGTTTTAGAATGAAATCAATAGGCATCTCTTTGTAGAACCCAAGGCACTGTATCACTGCAAACACTTAAAAGGCATTTGTTAGAGTGCTGCTTTCCATTGCTTTCTCTTCAGTCAAACTTAGTTGAGGGGTGACAAAACAGTGTGAAGAGATGGAATCTGCAAAGTAAGGTGAAGGCAGGTGCCTGTGAAAAGAAGAAGGCTTGCAAGCTGCCCTTGAGGCTGAATTTTTCCATTTCCTAAAGAATGTCCTGGTAGATGTCATTTAGTCTACGTTATTTATTCCAAGATAGCTCAACAGATATTCCTTGGGACTGGCTAGAAAATAAATCCACAAGGTAAAAGAGTAATCCATCTTCCAAGATCATGCAAATTTCTGTTTATTTGCCCAAGACTGCTACCTTATACCTGCATATTAGTAACACCTATGTTTAGGGAGTGAGTACCTCCTCTCTTGGAACTGCACCAACTTACTTCTCATCTTCTAAGCAGCCATAGGATGGCTGTACAGTTTCCATTTTATTCATAATTTACCTAGGCTGAATTGGATTCAATGGCCTGAATTCTGATTTAATGCTATAGGCCCAGTTCTTATTCACAATAAAGATCTTTACAGTGTTGTTTTAGAGAAGCATGGAATTAGGGAATAAATAAATTCAACCACTTTAACAGTATGTATTCAGCTATGAATGCATGCTCAAAAGTGTTACATAGAACTGGTCATTTCCAGTGGAGAAGGTATCACCTTCTCAGTGTCTCTCCTTTTGGTCATCAGAGGTGTGTAAGAGGGACTTAGCATAAACAAATCTTTGTAGTCTGATTTCTATTTCTTCATTGCCAGTACTATGTCATTCAATTACCCTTCATCCCACCGCGTGACTAGAATTTTTTTTGTCATGAACCATTTTTAAAGTCTCCAATGATAAAAAAGGGGAAAAAAAAATTCCTTCAAAGAAGTCAAGAAGAGTAAGATTGATGACTTTTGTTCATGAATCCAACATTTTAAATTAAAAAATCCAATGCCCTCATGACTCTAGTTAATTGTACTTTGGAGATGGGATTTCAGTATTTAACTTTCTGCAGTCATAATGAAAACTTGCCTGTACATTGAATGATTTTTTATTTTTTTCCCCTAGTATTTCGTCATAATCATTTTGTTATGGGAATCACAAATACAGGAAACGTTTCAAAACCAGCCAGCTGAGACAGCAAGCAGTTAAATAACTCTGGAAAAGAGTGCCTTAATGCTGCAAAGATGTTAGCATGTGCTGAAATGTATGCATGAATAGTCCCATGTGTAAAGTTAATTGCCTAGATCAGCACATAATGATGATGCAGCACCATAGTACAAATAAACTAAAGTGATTACATGGACAAAGACTGTATCTTTTAATTTTAAAAATATAATGATTAGAATATTACATTTCCTTCCTGTCTTTATTTGAAAGGGTGCAAGCCAGAGATAACTCACGCAGCTCCTCCTGGGCAGTCTTATTTACTCTGACTGAGGTCTTGCTTAGCTCTTCACGTCTCTGCAGCCTGCAGATTAGAAAGCAGGCACCCAGAGCACTTCCTCTCCTGCCATTGGACTCCAGTTTTATATCCCTGTTTTAATAACTGTCGCATGAAGTGATCTCCATCTAGGACGCACTTTTCACAAGGTCTTTTTCCCACCATCTTTCTGATAGCTTATTATGACTGAAGTGGAAATGTTACATAAAACAAGCTGTTTATGGAAATCTTATTTCTGTCACATGAGCTCTACCCTGATATGATAGGCGCTCTATTTGGCTGCAAGTATTAAATATATTAATTATATCTGTCATTATGCAATTCCCCTTTTACCACCACTGGTTTTTATACTCCTGGTAAAATATACTCCGAGCAGTAAAATCATTGCACCTTAGCACACTTTAACGTTCATAACAATCTGACATAATAAGGATACTGTCATTGCAGAAACACCTTCCTACACCCATGTGGGTACTTGAAAAATCTGTGCTTTCTCCATCCTCCTACATAAATATAGTAGCTTAGGAACTTTTCTGCTGTGCCTTGATTTTTAATGATAAGAGATGTCAGGTACCATTTAAAACATAAGAGATGAAAAGGGGACAATTCAGCTTTCCTTCAGATGTAGTCACCTGTTCTGCTTCTGTGAAGTGGGAAAAGTGTGAGGAAATATGAAACAGATGAAGTTTTAAACTAGAAAGCATTAAGATCCTGTCTCAGGACCCTTTTCTTCCACTCCTGGATACCTAAAGAACATGAACAGCTTAAGGTGACAGACTTTGATGCCAGTCTAACTCCACTCACAGCAATTAAGTATGCAAGACTTCTACAAATGAGATCTAAACTCTGGCCTGTAATGGCGGACCTAATCTTCTCAAGCATATGTAATAACTACGTACAGCTGGTTCTCTTGCACTTTAGCAAGTGCTTATGACAGTGGTTCCATGGCTGCCTTCTCAAAACACAAGACACAGGTTTTGGAGCCCAAAGAAAAAGTTCAGTCAGGACCTTGCTAATCTTATGCTCTTGCCTCCAAATTGCACCATCAAAATAATGGCTCAGTCTAGACTGCCCTTCAGGATGCTGACGCCTGAGTGTAGTAGGATTTCTACACAGGTTAAGAATTCTAGATTTTTGCATGCAAGGAAAAAAAATTCATATATGTTTTGTTTAGAATAAAAAAATTAGCACGTATATAGAGAAAATTAGCTAAATCCTGGAGGATGCTGACGATTTTGAATCATGAACTAGATTTGGGGTATGTAATTGTGTAAGCAGTGCTTTTGCCCCATTGCTAAGGTAAACGTTCAAAGGTTGGTGATCCATATTTAGGAGAGCCGAGGTGCTAGGTTGAGTGTTGGAGTGTTACCATGTCGTGTGCCACATCCGGGTTGCAAAACTGCAGTCCGAGTGGCGAAGCATTCCCTGTATCTGAGCCACAGGAATAAAGGTTGGTACCAAGCAATCCAGTACGGCTCAAGTAGCAGCTCTGGATCTCTCGTTATGTTTTGCTCTGCTGCTCATTTGTTCTAGGACTGACACAGTTCTGGCCGTTGTCAGAGTGACAGGAATGGCTACGACGGTGTTTTGGAAGAGACCAGAGAGTTTTGCAGTGGCGAGACATGATGGACTCCAGCCCTTTTACTACTACAAGAGGAAGACGGACTTCCTCCTGAATTTTGACGGCAGCCACCTGGGAGGGGGGAGGCCTGCGCACACCCCACCGAGGGGGCTCGCCTTTTGGGGAAGCGTTGCGGGGCGGCAGCCCGCGGCTGGCATCGCCAGGGCTCTCCGCCTCCTGCCGCCGGCCCGGTCGGGCGCAGGACGGAGGAGGTGTGCGAGCCGGGGTGCGGGGGGAGGACCGGGGGAAGGTGCCGTGCCTTGTGGCCCTGGGGCGGGGCTGCCGTAGCGCCTCGACCGTGCATTGGGTCTAGATTCATACATAAATATAGCCGGGGTGGGCTCGCCACACTCCTCTCCCCCCCAGGAAGAGA